AGCTTAGTGAGGTACAGGAGTGCTTTGGCCGGGAATCGAACCCCGGACCATATGCGTGGTCGGCGAGCATTCTACCCCTAAGCCACTGACGCACCAACGTACTGAACAGTAGTTTAGTAATTTCATAATCCACAATCTATTCATATAAAAGCCGATGAGATGAAAAATTAGGGAAAATATCAGGTATTCTATTCCATATTCTGAAGGATTTTAAACTAATGTCGTTTTTTTCTGTAAACCATATAGAATTTAAAAGGTTATAAAGCCTCTCTCAGGTGGAATGTCTCATGCTTGCATAAATAAAAGTGTTTCAGTAATTACCTAGCGAAGTTGTATTACTCTTCCGTCCACATACATTTGACAGTCCAGTTGATGAGGCCTGAATCTTTTTAAAAATAAATATAAACCAAGGAATAAGTTGCTACATTATTCAAAATGGAATTTTATTAAAAAAATATATATGCGTGATTATGAACTTTATTGAGGGAAAGCTCTTTTCCTCCCCGATTTTACCCTATTTTTAAGTCAAACACCTTCGTAATAAAGGTCCTTTCTTTACTGAAATTACATGTTATCTGGGAGAGCACAATATAGTATATAGCATAGTACACAGGTTGAGGTTATATTTCTCCAAAATATTCAGATCAAAATATGTGACCTGCTTAATCCTATTAAATGACAGTCAATAGAGATCGAAGATCGTATGTGCTTCTAATTGATACAGATATCAGAGAAAGGACAATACTTACATTTTAATAGTTTTTGTCCAAATAGCTTTAAACGTGTACTGGCCAAGACTCTATAGTATGGAGCTAGGAGATTATGCGCTATAGAGAAATTAGAGGAAGAATTTATGTTTCTCGAAAAGATGTTGAAGAGCAATGGTTACCATCAAAGATTCATCAACAAGTATGGAAGATCTGAAGTCTCAAATGTCAAACAAATCACAGTGGAGAAAAAGCCAGTCTACATTCAACTTGATTATAAAGGTGAAAACATTGCAGCAATGGTCAAAAGAAGACTGAGTACGTCACTAAGCAGAGCCTATCCTGCAGCTAACCTGGTTCCCGTCTATCGAACAACTTTCCTTTTTGGTGCAATCAAAAATCGATAGATATCCTTCTCATGTTAACTCTAACTGTATATACAAATTTACATGTATCTGCGTGAGCAGTTACTTTGGAAGAACAGAAAGAAGGGCATATCTACGATTTTTTGAACATGTGCCAAAAAGACTATGTCTCCAGCTATGAACAAATGCTTTAAACAGTGCCATCGCCAGCCATCTCCTTTACTCGGGTCATGAGGTGAACGTCGCAAGATCGTTCAAAATTATCAATAGGCAAAAGACTTCAATTCTCCTCAAGTTTGCTGAAGCCATTTCCATCAAGCTCCTGAAAGAAACAGTTATCAGTCTTTCTTTGCCCTGATAACTGGATATCTTCACTTCTCTTTCATCTGATTGCGTAATGTTGAAAGTTTCCATTGTGTATGATCATTATTGTTGGGAATAGTGTTTAATATTACATATATATATTATTACTGTATGCATATATTGATTGATTGGTTTTTTGTTTAAAATGAACTCTGTGCAAGTATGTTAAAATTGTTTCTGTAGATATACTTAATAATGACTTTGGCCTGTAAGCAGCTGATGAGAAGACAACGAAATAAGCAATGATGGTACCATTTTATTCTGCGAAAACCTCTGTTGTTCTTGCTTTATTCAAATATGTGGGAATGATTCTTATCCTCCAGTAGTGGTTGACACCTAGATCAAGAAGGTTCAGACATATGACATGGATGATATTCAGTTGTTGACATCATTCACTGTTATGTACTGCATAGAATAGAGCCAGTAATTATAATTATTATTTGTTAACATCTTCCTTATTCCACAAGTTTTGGTAAGGGTACCTATCTTCTTGATCTCTCAAGTTTTTATCACTATATTACTGTCAAAGTGTTCATAAACCATAGTGAAAAGTAGATGAAACCTTTCAGAACTTTGAAGTAGCAACATTCAATGAAAATTTTCTTGTATTACCCAATGAATGAAAAACAAAACGATGTTGTTGCTTTTACTGACGTTTCACTGTTTAGTGTTAACAGCTTTATCAAAGGATTAAATATGGTTAAGATATGTACGACAATGCTGCATGCCAACTAATCCACAACGGGAAACTTACGGAATCCTTCGAAGTGAGGACAGGAGTAAGACAGGGCTGCCTACCATCGCTAATGGTTTTCCTGATTGCCGTAGACTAGATAATGCGACAAACGGCGGACAATGAGGAAACAGGCATAAAATGGACTCACACAAAAAACGTGGAGCATCTGGACTTCGCCGATGATATATGTCTGATTTCCCACAAACTGGAAGATATGCAAGCGAGAAGCAACAAGTTGGCAGAAGAAGCATCAAAGATAGGACTCCAAGTAAACGTAGAGAAAACAGAAGTGGTGAAGATTCCTGGGCAAGAACAACAACAGCAACGACAACAGACAATAATCAGCATAAATGGGAGGAACCTGAAAGAAAGAACCTCATTCACCAACCTACCTAGGAAGCATCGTTTCAACTACAGACCAGCGGAACTGACGAGGATATCAAAGCAAGAATCGGAAAAGCAAGACAAGCTTTCACTACTCTCAAGTCTGTGTGGAGGTCAACAGCACTCAGCATCAAAAATAAGATCCGGATTTTCAACTCCAATGTGAAGTCAGTGCTACTATACGGATCAGAGACTTGGCCAGTGCGTCATAAAGAGCATCTCAAACAAACTACAGACCTTCATTAACAGTTGTCTTCGCTCAATACTCAAGATCAGATGGCCTGCCAGAAAAGATCAGCGACAGAGATCTCTGAGAGCGAACCAACCAGGAACCGATTGTGAAACAAATAGGCAGGAAGAAATGGAGATGGATTGGCTGGCATACTCTGAGAAACCATCAAGTGACATCACTAGACAAGCCATTGCTCGAGTGGAACCCGAAAGGGAAGTGGCGAGTTGGTCGTCAGTGCTAGGGTGACTTGGAGGAGGTCATGTGAAGAGGAGATGAAAGCATGTGGGCAGACTTGGAGCCAGGTGAAGACTCTAGCAGAGAACCGAACGCAATGGAGACGCACGGCTGAAGCCCTATGTTCCTGTAGGAATTAAAGGATACAATAACAATAAGATATGTAGATGATACTTATGTAGTACTAAAACGAGATCTACACAGTTCATTCCCGGAGAAAATAAACTGTCTATCTCCCAGAATCCAGTTTACTTCGGAAGCAGCATCAGACGTTGGTGAACTACCATTTCTGGATTGCCTAGTTAAGAGGAGGGAAAACGGACATTTAAGTATATCCTCATTCAGGAAGAAAACCCACTCCAAAAGGTATTTAGACTTGGGATCACCACAACCCATCAGCACGAAAGTATCAGGTATTTCAAGTCTTCTTAGACAAGCAAACTCTCTGATAACGGATGAGAAGGAAAAAGAAGAAGAAATATCAAACATTACTGAGCCTGTCAAACAAAATAACTACCCAAAGAACTTCATCAACGAAATCAACACTGACATTAAATATGGTCGAAAACATATTCCGAAAGCATAGACCTCAATAATTGTCATTCCGTATACAGTAGAGACTTCAGACGAAATCAGAGGAGTACTCATTAAGCACAACACCAGAGTTTTATTCAAAATATCAGACACAGTGCAAAGCAACCTTCTCCATATAAAAGACAAAATCCCTAAAGATTCTCTATCTAATTGTCTTTACGAGTTGATCACGGATTGATATCAGTTAGAGAACCATTGAAAACTAGGGAGTACTGGTCGAAGTTAGAATTCATGAGCCATTGAATTGGGTCTCAGTGGTTGTATGGTATACAAGCGCGCCTTGTAACCGGAAGGTCCTGGGTTCGAACCTCAGTGGGTGCGTACTACTGATGATTCCCAAACTAAGATGAAGCCGCTGTCCAGTACTCCCTGGTTTTCAATGGTTCTCTAACTGATTTCAATCCGTGATCAACTCGTAAAGACAAAACTAACCCTTACAAACCAAACTATAGAAAAATAATTGTGTCTATAAAATGAAATTCTTGCTTGGAATGTGATGCGATACACATCGGACAAACATCGCCAGAGAGAAATCAAGGCAGCTGTTTGACCACTGAGAAATCCAGTTGAACTAGAGACGCTTGAAAAATTATCAGCCATTGGTAGTCTACACACCATAGAATCAGGCCACACAATCGATTTTGGCAACATTGAAATAATCCAGAAACATTTCAGAAATCACAAAGGACGTCTCACATTATCAGAAGCACTTCATATCCAGTGGAATCCCAATTGTCTGAAAGGGATGATAGACTAAAACAAAATTTAACCTGATTGCACCACACTCCCCTCCCCAATGAGATGACAAAATCAACGGGAATAAGATAAGCAATTTCATTATGTAAGCAAACACTGCTTTTATAATTTTACACACTTATCAAATCCAACAATCCACACCTGATTTTGTTATCTTAACCAGTTGCCCAATTTGACAACGAAAAATGATCCCATACTGAAGAACGATGATCAAGTTTGTAAACTTTGTTTCGATACCATAACAGATGTACTATTACCTTTGTTATTTGGTTCAGTGATCTTCATTGTTATTTTGACCTTCAGTATGTCCTTTTAACGTGACCTAAGTCTATTTTCTCACCTCATAACTCATTGTTATATATATATTTAGATTTTGTAAATTCTGGTTTAATAATACTTTGAAAAAGCTATTAGCATTGAGTAGCAAAACGTCAGTAAAAGCAATATCGTTTTGTTTTTCATTCATTGGAAAATACAAGAAAACCTTTATTATAATGAATATCATATACCCAATGCCCAAATTTTTTCAAACTGTTAAAAGTGAACTTGGTTCGGACACATATAACATCTAATAAAGTATGTTTTGAACCAAAAATTGTGTATGAAACCAACATAATACTTCTCATTAGTTATGAAACGTAACTTACTGAGTAGTATGGACAGTAATCCATGTAATCTGCACCTGCGTAATAATTTAAAGCTTCCCGATCAACTTCGAATGTTTCATCAGCATACTGAAACTCTAAAGGTAGCCGTCTATTCACCTTATTTAGCATACAGTGTCCATATGCATTTGAAAAATCCACGCATTTCGTTTTCTGTGGACCGTCACAGAATGGTTCAATACTTTCCTTCCTGTAAAGTGAATAAGCTGTATTTGAAATATATCTTTATTTATTGGAATTCCATGTCAATGACAAGTCACTGAAGTCATTCGAATTCGGATATTACAACTATTCTATATGGTTTGGCATACAACTTGTAGTTAAACATCAATTCAAATGTTTTCTTATCTTGGTGAATAACTATCTTATGCATTGCAAACAGCATTCTCCTCGTCGTAATACTTATCAACTGCCAGTGTTTTACTAACTGGATCATAGTGATCTTTAAAAACCAGATGATTGTTTCGCTTGTTTCGAGTGGGTCTCATCAGGGGTGTACCTGGTTCTTTTCAGATCAGAAAGCCGAATCATGTGTATCTAATATGCAGAAGATCTGTTTTGTATTCAACAGAACAATAAAAGTAGTCATTATAATACTGTTTCATAGTGTAAAGTTTTCTACACTTAACTGTTTTATCGATAAAAAAGGATAGAAGATAGTACGCAATGCAAAATTAACTGTCTATTTTTTTATTCCTTCACGTTCCCAGTGGAACATAGGGCTTCAGGCTAGAGGCTTGAAGTTTCTGTAGCATTGGTGTTTATTTTTACAGGATGGGGTTGCTAGCCTCATGCCCAATCTTTCCTCTTTACCAGCTTTATTTCTGGCTTAGCGAGCGAGGTACAAGAGTGTCTTGGCCTGGGATTGAACCCCGGATCATGAAAATTGTCGGCGAGCCTCCTAACCACTGTGCCACCGACGCTCAAATTGTCCATTAATCTTGTAATTTAAAAATGAGGCTCTAACTGATTGCTTCCTAACCATCAGACAACAAAAACAGCCTATTTCGAAGTTGCATCCTTAATATGGAAAGTTGTCAAGACGTCTGTGACCACGTTGTTTACTTATCTAAATTACCAATCAACTAATCTATACTCATAAGTATACAGAAAGGAAATCGATCATTTAGCTTATAATTCAGCGCGATCCTTAATTTCTGCCCAGTCTTCATTGCTGTTTCAGTTAAATAAAAGAATAATAATAACAACAATAATAATCGTTTCCATGAAACATCTGACCCATAGGCCATCCTGTTGCAGGATGTATCTAACCGACAGTTATTTATAACTTCTCTAAATAGTGAATATTCAAATAACATTTTATTAAGTAGTAGTGATTGAGAAGTTCAGTGTACTACCTGGTGAACATTTTAAATAACTATTCTCAACTTACTTGGCTTTTCTTGTCTTCATATATTCGTAGCAGCTTTTCATTGCAATTTCACATCCTAAATTCTTTCCCCAGGTGAAATCATCAGCCGCAGAGTAGTCCACATCATACATTCTTTATTGTAGTTTATAGTTTTGAGAAAACAGACAAAGTATAAGAATAATAATTACAAATAGTAAGAATATCCAATTTAAGTTACAAGCCAATGTTTCCAGTTTTCTTGTCCCCTATGATCCAAGCTCCTAATTCTCAGTAGCGTTGGCTCACTTTTAACCACGTTGAAGTGATAGCGTTACACACAACTTTCTCTCTATTCTGGGATTACTACCAGCCAGTTGGTCAGGCTAATAAATCGGGAATCAAATCTCTGTCATGGCTGGAGATCAATCTACCACTGAAGCACCGATGTACATGACATTCATTTCAAGTTTGATCACAGATTGATATCAGTTAGAGAAACACTGAAAATCCAGCAGGGAGTACTAGACAGCTATCTTGCCCTGGTTTGGGACTCATCGGCGTTAGCGTTCACTGGGATTCGAACCGAAGGACTGTATGGCTACAAGTCAAGCTCATAGACTATTCAGTCACTTGGACCCAACTCAATAGCCATCCCATAAATTTTAACTTTTACCAACTCGTGATTTTAACCTGACCACCAGTCAGTGCAATCGCTGGCGAGTATTTATGCTGACTTCCTTCTTGGTGGACCACACTGATCACAAATTCTCAGCAGAACTCCAGGCAACATCGTCCTGTAACCAGTTATCGGATTTATCTCTAAGAGTTAGTTTGTAAGGACTTCATCTATTTCAAGTTTGATCACCTGATGCTCGCCAAGATTAGTCTGTTCTATGCATCATTCTAATGAAGAAGATGATAAAACACGACACGCCAATGAACATTAAAGCATGAAATAAGTTCATTTCGGATAAGATATGAATCTATAAGGTGAACCATCTACATGTTAAATTAATGTTATTGTATTGTACATGTTAAATACATGTGGAATGTGAAAATGTCAGCTAATAAAAATTGAATTATTTATCAACGAAATACATACTGTGTATCCTTGAAGTAAGCCAGGGTTATTCTTGACAGAAAATTTTCGTCTAGTCTAATTGGTGTCATCATTTCATTCTGAAAAAAAGCACACAACACATATTGTATTAGTTTGAACTTTATTCATTGTAGGTATAAGATAATAATGATAAAATTAAAACCATTGGTATTCGACCATGAGAACCACCGAATAAGAAGTACTGAACACATTATGAAGTCACATAAATACTGGACATCATTTTTATTCCCTTTAGCTTCATAGCTAAACTAATTCTATAGTTTAACTAGACAGCTGGATCAAAATAGTATCAGAGTAAAAGGGTGTATTGCCCAACGATCGCCTTATTATTCTCAATCAGGTTTTGTAAGGTTTCGTATCTGGATTGTATTGCGTTTTCAGAGTTGCATGGTTTGTTCATATACCTTGCGTATTGTCATCATCGTTGTTAGAAAGTTAAAAGTTCCTGAATATACTATATATATATCATCTCCACCAATTGGTTTTATAGTCAGAAGTTATGAACAACTACCTGTGTTCAAAATTCCTTAGAGATACTTGTTTTTAGTATGATAAGTCGAAAGGTCATAATCAAGTGATCCGGTATTTCTAATTTAATTATCAACTTAGCGTGAAATATTCTAGCAGTGAGTTTATATGATTAAGGCTAGATAGCTTTTTATTGATTGTTTACCTGCATCAGCAGTTCGTATACTTCGAGATGTAAGTACTGACATAGCAGTTGGTCACGACAACGCTAGAACTGCGAGGAATTGAACTCAGCAAAATAAGTTATACACATAAATCACAGTGTCACTGTCTAAAAATGCGTAATTCTTTAGTTTCCCACACACATATTGGTTATACAGAATTCAAATCGGAAACGCAACATGCGTTGGGTCATGGTAGTTGATATAACTGAAGTATGATCACAAATGTAAACTCACCCCTAGTACTCTCTGACTATAATGACCGTTTTCTACTTCGACTCCATCTAATTCGTTGCAGCCAAAATGTTTCTTTGCTTCATTCTAAAGTATTTATAATACAGGCAATAGTCAGGAATTGCGAATATGATGAATGTGATGAATTCTAGGTTCGAATGATTCAAAAATAGAGTTTTTCATATTTCAGACTGCATTATACAAGCATATTGTAATCTGTATAGTCAACATGTTGACACTGAGAAATACTCTACAATTTAAATTTACTAAAGTGAAAATTTTTCATCGAAGTAGAAAGTGTTAACAAGAAGAAAGGATCTGAACCTGAACTTTACCCCTCAAGTTTAATTAAATTCTTCCGAAACATTCCTTTCTTCAGAGTTATTCTAGATGATATACCTCATGAGCGACTTTCTTCCTGAAGACTCTGGGACCCCGATAATATTACATAATGATTTATGTTATTGATTGCAGGGTTTCATCATGAGCTGACATCAGTTAAAGAACCACTGGAAAACCTGGGAGTACTGGAAAGGTCAAGGACCATTGGATCGGGTCCCAGTGGCTCAATGGTCTGCGAGCTCGCCTTGTAACCAGAAGGTCCTGGGTTCGAATCCCGGTGGGTGTGTACTGCTGAAGAGTCGAAAACGAGGACGGAACAGCTGTCCAGTACTCCCTGGTTGGTTTTCCAGTGGTTCTCTAACTATTTCAGCTCATGATGAAATCCTCCATGCAATCAAACAAAATTCCTACAAAACCAATATTTGAAAGTGAGAAAACCATCGGAAAACCTGAGAATACTGGACTGTTGTTTCCGCTGTCCTAGTTTGGGACTCTTCATCAGTAATTCGAACTCAGGACCTTCTGGTTAAAGGGCTATCGAGCTCGTAGACCATTAAGCCACTGGGATCCGATTCGAGTGGTTCTGTAATTGATTTCAGCTCATGATGAAACCCTCCAACCAATGAAACATAATCCCTACAAAAAAACCAATACTATAAAATTTATGTTATTATAAACCACCATTTACTTCTATTCATCGGTGAGGGGAATATGTTTTATTTTCACGCAGACATACACCAGAGAAGACATTTTAGTTTGTCATCTGTTTCCATTTCCGGATGATAGGCGAGTAGATTATTTACCAGCATATTCACATTACTTGTTCTAGGGTACTAATATACATATTTACACATTTATTTCATCCAAAGCATTGAGAAACTAGCATTCAAATGGATTTCTTATGATGCTACTGTCTTTACCAATTTTCAAGCGTTGGTTTGTAGAGATTTGATTGATTTCGATTTTGATCACGAAACGACTTCAGTTATAGAACCACTCGAAAGCCAAAAGGGTATAAATGACAGCTGTTTCACCCTTGTTTGGACTCTTCCGCAGCACCTACCCATGATCCCCTTAGGGAAAGAATCTAGGACCTCCTATATATTAGAAGACGAACTTGTATGCCATTCACCTCCTAAGACGGAATCCAATCGGCTATGAATTCTAACTTCTGCCTGTTTACAACATATAGCGTGACCATCAACTCTCAAACCCAACTTGGTGGACGTCACTGATCACCACTAGAAGCACAGGTAACTCCATCTAATCGTCAGTCACTAGTGAACACTAGATTAATTTTCAGGGATTTGTCTTCAGTAGTTCAGTGATTCTGTAACAGAAGTCAATTAGTGATCTTTAATGATCATGTTTCAAATTATCATATTCAAACAACTGATTTTTCTAAGATTTTCTGTGTCACTTTTGAATTTTCTTAACCAAATTAGTTTTCTCTATAATGAATATAACAAATAATTGGCAATGGTTTGTGTGTTCCCTTAAAGACTTCACCATATTTGAATTTTCAACTTCATATGTAAAAACATTTTTCCTAAGACGCAAAACGTTTTGGGCACATGTATGCCTATTGGCATTGTCATTTTTGCAGTCTTTCAGAAAGTCTACAACGAATTCTCCATCTAGACAAAATTGAGTCTGTGGAACAAAAGATCGAAATGAAGTTATATCATATCTTGGTCCGTCACGTATTTTTTTAAACTTCAGATGTTGCTAATTACAAAATGTTCTTTACACACTCACAAGCATATTTGGTAGCCTGAGTATTGTTTTCTGCACGTTGAACCGACCTCTGGCTGACAACCAACTTCGTGTGACTTTTTGAACCGGTCTTGGGCTGCAAATAAATAAATAAATAAAAATAAATGCCGAATTAATCTTGACTAATGTGAAAAGGGATTGATAATTGTGTAGGTGAATTCACGATAAAATTTCTGCTGACGCATTCGCATACCACAAAGTCTTTCCAATATGCTCGACTAACCTGAATATTATGTTGAATTATTGTAAGGCCAAATGCAAGTTATACAGCTGGTAGTAGAAGCAGTGTACACTTCAATTCCAGTAACAGATCCGGAAACAGATATGAATGCATTCTAGTTAGTCACTAAAATCAGTTTATATTATGTTTAATTCCCGGATCTAAAAGTACTGTCATTAAATTGGAGAAGGGAATTAAATTATTCCACCTTATTGAAACTGTAGTTTTCATCAATTTCCAGATCATCAGGAGTTTAATGTCCCCTCCTAACTACTTTTAAACTATACAAGAAACTTACTCGGACTCAACGGAAATGATTTTACTTATCACTCTGCAATGACAACCGTCAAATTTATCTCTGCCACCATATGTACCTCAGCCGACATCATATTTGGAAACATAGAAACATTGGAAGTTAAGCCATAGTTTCACAGCCAGCATAAATCGCATTTGTTTTACTTAGCATCTATATGATGTCTTTCTGAAGGTTGTTTGATGTCTAGATATTCGTTTGGAAGTATTGAAGGATAATTTGTAAATAATTTTGGTGACTTTACTTCCTACAAAACTTCTGAAGAAAACAATTCACTTGATATTAGTTTCTTTTCCTCTGAATATTCTTTGAATTTGACTGCTCAAGAAATCACTAGGAGAAAAAACGTTAATAGATCTGACCTTTACGCTTCCCTAAGTATTAGTAATATTGCTTCACTGAAGTTCCAGCTTATACTGTTTTTTTTTTCACCTTTATCTACTGATTTTCCAGTAATTATAGCAAACAAAACTGATCCTGTAATCTAAGAATGAAATTGAACAAATTATTCCCAGAAAAGGGTTTCGAGAATAGACGGAAACACCTAAATGGTTATTTATAAGAGTGTACGCTTCATGCTGTGTGTGTTGTTGGTTCGGTGGAAGAACACTCACTGATCACGCGCGTGATCCGAGGCTCTATACCCAGCCAACGCACTGCTAAATCTCGCTTAACTGGCAGTAAGCACGGTAAAGAGAGAAAGTTGGATGTGAAGCTTGTAACTTCTCACTGTTGGAAAAGTAACACCAGTGTTACTGAAACTTCTGAGTTCAACGCTTGAAGCCATCTGTTCCACTGGTAAAGCGAAGGAATAAAGTTTAAGGAAAGTAATATGCTACAAAAAGAACTGTTTGAAAACTTACTTAGAATTTAATCTAAATTCTGGATTCAAATCCGGTAGCCTTTCGTAAATACCTGGATGAAATCCCTTGTGAAAAAATGAGATAAGGTGCTCATTAAACTGCATGGTTGATCAAAATTTTAAGGTTTGAAAGAAAGACCACTTTATGAAACTATCAATGTAAGGATACTCCAGGCTAAATCACTAAACAGTACTTTCGTCCATTCGAAGCGAATTGCTGAGCCGCATCCTAGAAAGACTAATAGAAACCTCAGATAGAAATTTCCGTCTGTAACAAGACATATTAGGGAAAAATAGCCACCTCCAGGAAAATTGCACTGTGATGCATCTTCTTCAAGCAGGGACTAGGATGTTAATCAAATCTCTACCTTAGCTTAATCGACTTTGAAAATACTTTCTACAGGGTCGATCATGAAGTAATTCGGCAACTGATTTAATACTACTAATCCTGATAAAAAGCAGTCATAAACCTGACTAAATAGTTGTATCATGATGCCGTCTGTCAATTAGTTCACAAGACAAAGCATACCGAAGGGATTAAAGGTAAGAAAGAATTAGGACAAGGCTGCCTAATTGTGGTGGACTGGATCGTGTAGACACCATGGGACTGAGAAGATGGGCGTATGTTAGGTAGATGAGATGATCCTGGAAGATTTGGATCACGCGGATGATTACATCTTTTGCGGTACAAACTCAGTTACATAAATGCGAAATTCAGCCACGAATTTTTCAGAAGAGGCAGTGAAGACAAGACTTCAAATGATCTTGAAAAAGATTGAAGCAATGAAGGTGCCTGACCATAAACAACAAGCAGCAACCACTGTCTTTGCTAGGAACCCAAAAGAAGGCGTCTCTTTCGCTTACCTTGACAGCAACATTCCACCCATCACCGATATGACTGAGTATTTCGGGGTCAGCCGGTATCAGTCTATGTACTATATACTCATGCATTTCAGAGAAATATACTATCAAAGAAAAACCCTTAATTCACAAGCAAAAACATCAGCTTTTGGTCAGGAAATCAATCAGTCGTTTAGCGTGAATACGAATGTGCTTTATTAAAAAATGTTAATTTAACGACCAAGTTTGAAACTCACATGGTTTGCTTTTTATGAAACTAATTATACCATCAAATTATCATGAAAGTTGAACACTCAGAGTATTTTTCCATGCCAAAGTTTACATACGCCCAGGAATCTAACTTGAAGGTCAATAAGTATCCTTATTTCATATCTAACATCGCACGTACAGTTAAGTTAATCTGCCAAGACCAGTTTTGCAACATCATCCCACACTGGACACGGGTTGACCACATACTGAACGTAATCCAAAATGTTCAGCAGACTGTATATTGTATAAGCCTGCTCACCTTAAACACCTATACCATCAGCTTATTTATTTTCATCAAACAAGACAATAAATAATCAAATGAAATTTCCTCGAAATAAACCTCACGCAGCGCACTATGAACGATTATTCTGGCGACTGACAGCAGTTACAAGCTTCGTGTGAATAAGTTAGACTGCTTAGATTCTTTAGTGTATTTGGAAAATTCCAAGATTCATAGACTATTGAAACACTCTATTTCCTGCTGGTGAATAATTGTGGCTATTCGAAAAGATTTTATTTATCCGTTTTAATATACACATGGAAAACGAACTTGACGCGCTTTTCGATTAGTACGCTACATTTGCTCAGTTTCATAAAACTTTTATTTCTCTGGCGTTTCTTGCCAATAAGTTGTGGAATTTATTGTAATTATTTGACTTTTGAACACTGAATCTGTGGATATAATCTTGTTGACTGATAATACCTGTAACTATCTGTTTGGTATATTGTGACTGTTTAACACTATCTAATATCTATAACTGCATATACTGTTGGACTTACATAGTCATTTTGACCCAAGTCAGTGAGTCTGTGGTTTTGACATCATTTTCGTTAACTGTTTTTTGACAGTGATACTACTGATACGGTTTTCTTATTGTTGTTGTCACTTCCCTTACTGTTGTAAATTTTTTATCCTTTTGCTGGTATTGTCCTGATTGCTTTATTCCTTGTTTTCCTGATGCTTAGGGGAGCAACCCAAAAAGTAGCTCCTCTGTAATTTTTATATTATTGTAACAAAGCCTCAGGCATGAGGCTAGCAACCCCACCCTGTGAACAAAGTTACCACAGAAAATTCAGCACGATGAGTCTCCTTGAGACAAAGGAAAAGTCTACGTGGGGAAATGGAACCAGGAACCGATTGTGCAACAAATGGAAGTGGACTGGTCGTACTCTGAGAAAGCAAACCATCAAGTGGGTGACATCAAATGCCAGGCCATCGTTCGAGTGGAATCCGAATGGGAAGCGGTGAGTTGGTCGTCAGTGTGAGGGCGACATGGAGGAGGTCATGTGAAGAGGAGATAAAAGCATGAGGGTAGACGTGAAGCCAGATGAAAAGTTTGGCAGAGAACCGAACGCAATGGAAACGTGCGGCTGAAGCCCTATGCTCCTCTAGGAACTAAAGGAAACACTAAAATATAAAATATGCACATAAACTTTGCCCCTTTACAGGTGCCATATTTCATTTCAATATTCTGTCACGATAATTTAGCAAATGCGAAACATTCAGCCAATATAATTGTAACTTACAAGTGCATGTGCTATTTCATGTTTAGACGTGGCAATTATGTTTTCGATATCTTCACTTTTAATCGTTTCTTCGTCATAGCAATAGTTCACCACACCAATAAAAGGCCTAAATATGAATTTCAAAAATATGGATAAAGCCCTTTGTTTGAAAAGTCAAAATCACTAGGTTAAAATATAATGTCAACTAAAATTGAAAATATAGGGCAAAGCATTAAAGCATAAACAAAGATAATACGATCAAATAATATTTTAAAAATAATGGAGACTTGATTAATTAATTACGATCGAATTCCGTTCCAGTTAAACCTTCAAATTGTTATCGTTGATGAATTGGGAAAGTAAGACAGCAGGATATTCTGTCTAATGATGAAGCAGACAATGAAAACGATTGAGTGATCTAATACATTTTCAAAGAATCTTTGAATGCATTATACAACTAGATGCATCACTATTTCGTGCAAGATGTTCATAAGTCACAGTAGCCTCACCACACACACCAGTACAGAGAGTGGAGGGATAATGGATGACAAACCTCCTACCAATTTCGTTAATACTACGTCCTTAACCCATAATTATACCAACTGACGAGTTTTCCAGTAATCATAATCTGATTTTGTCTTTCCTACCTCATCTTCCTGATAATTACACATTGTAATTTTTAATTTAATCTTTGACCTGTAATATTTTTTGAATAGTGTCTCTACCTATCTTCTGTTTTTACAGTTGATAATTTTATCAATTTGGCTTTTGACCGGAAATAATTCTGGAACTTTCTCACACATCTCATATAAATACACGAATGTACAGCCTAGTTGATGACTTCTTTTTTCTTTTTTTTTCTTTTTCATTTACAGCTTGATTCCACACCGTATTTTCAGTACAAGTATGGAATTTTCAGCATGGATATCGGTAGCCCAAATTTACAGGCCGACCATAGATATCGGGTGTGCGCCGGCAGGGGATCGAACCCCGGACCATGTGCATGGTCGGCGAGAGTCCTAACCACTGTGCCACCGTCGAAAAGAAGAATTTTTCTTCTCTGCAGGCGTCTTTTTAATAATTCCTATGATCCAATGTGTACGTTCGGTGATTTGAAGAGAAGCAAGGACTGTTCGACGGTAAAGGGACTGAACAAGTTTCTACGTTTGTCCTCTCTCAAGCTTACTGGAGGGAATGCAAAGATTTTCTTTTTGAAGAATTGCCTTGAGAAACATGAATATCCCAAAGTGTTCTGTAAACATCTCAGTCGAAATCACATGCCCCCTAATTCACGTGCACTGAGACGACACATTCTGAATCACATCGATGAAGTTCGATCAAGACTACCCGGAACGGAGCAGAATATCTCAAAAAACGCCCACGTTCTCTAGGAGGTATCTGAAGATGAAAGAACATCATTCAAGAACTACTTGAATACGGTTACAAAGAAAGGAACAGATGATGTCATAATTAAAAACTAAACCAAAGCCTAAAGTCCGCTACCAAAGAAACCATCTTTCTTACTTGTTCAGAAAAATACTTGTTCAATTATTCTGATGTTACACAATCAACGATTTTAGGATATATAGTTATTCCAGCTGTAAGAAACTCAAAAATTCACCTCTACGTTGTGTCGACGCAGGGGTATCTGTGTATAGAATATCAGTGGATATATTTCAGGGAACGCAAATATAGAAGTTATTTTCAAAGTAAGTCAGGATGACAACAAAAACGAATATCAAAGAGAGTAGTTTATAACAAAAAGTGTTGTAGGTGCTCAAAACATCTCAGAAACCGATTTTGTACGAATTGGTTGATGACATTCTGAAGACCTATTCAACACGTCAACGAAATCGACTGGTGGTAATGCTGTTAGCGAATTTTAGCCACTGGTGAAACTTACTTTGGAGGATCTACATCTCTGAAACCTTCGTCTAGTCAGTTTAACAACCCAAATACTGCCATGAATTCATTACACAATGACATAAGAATTATACACTGTTTGGCTGCATGGTTAAAGTTCGGACTTCCAAAGACCGCCATCATTATATTGCATAAAATTTCTGTCGTTTAGTTTGTATCAGTTTATTAAAATATGGTCTCTAGTGGTATACTTTTTACTGTCGCAATTATTTAAACTATTTACAATCTGCTTTTCACAATTTCCTACTAAAATTGAGAAAAAACAAAATCGTAGGTAGTAACGTATCCCAATATATGAGATATCTATTCTCAAAGTTTTTAGTACAAACTGCCATTGTATAATTAACAGCAACAACAACAACAACAGACAACAATCAACATTAATGGAAGGAAGCTGAAAGAAACAACCTCTTTTACCTACCTGGGAAGCATCGTTTCAACTACAGGCGGAGAGAACTGACGAGGATATAAAAGTAAGAATCGGAAAAGCAAGACAAGCTTTCACTACTCTCAAGCCTGTGTGGAGGTCAACAGCACTCAGCAAGAAAATGGAAATAAGAACCGGATTTTCAACTCCAATGTTTAACCGCAGTGCTACTATACGGACCAGAGACTTGGCGTGTGATAAAGAGCATCTCAAACAAACTACAGACCTTCATTAACAGCTGTCTCCACTCAATACTCAAGATCAGATGGCCAGCCAGAAAAGATCAGCAACAGAGATCTCTGAGAGCGAACCAACCAGGAACCGATTGTGAAACAAATAAACAAGAAGAAATTGAGATGGATTGGCTGGTCGTACTCTGAGGAAACCATCAAGTGACATCAGTAGACAAGCCATCGCTCGAGTGGAACCCGGAAGGGAAGCGGCAAGTTGGTCGTCAGTGCAAGGGTGACTTGGAGGAGGTCATGTGAAGAGGAGATGAAAACGTGTGGGCAGACCTGGAGCTAGGTGAAGACTCTGGCAGAGAACCGAACGCAATGAAGACGCACGGCTGAAGCCCTATGTTCGTCTAGGAATTAAAGGAAACAATAATATAATAATAATAGTATCCGATTATTCAGTTATGCTTCCGGGTATTAAGATGTACTCCTGCACTTTTCCTGATTAGCTTTCAATCAAATGTACTTTTACAGAGACAAAGAGGAAATATCATAACTTCTTGATTCGTGCCTCACGTAACACAAAATTCTATCGCATGATCTAATGTCAATTACTACATTTCTTGAAGACGCTGGATAGGGAGAAAATATTATGCAATAATATCCACTGAAATTTCTGTACATCATATAAACACTATACAGAATAACAATGTTATTATAATTATGTAGAAGACTATGACCACTTTCTGTCTTTCAGCTTCGTAATATTGTGAGGATGAAAACCTAAGCAGTGCAATCACGCCATTTGACTGACATTTGAGTACTGCACGAAAATCTGACAGGTTCAAAGTTAGGTGGTCTGTGTGTGTGTTGTTCTCATTTTTGTCAGATCCAGGAATACTGAGGCTTTGAAGTCATGTTTGCTGGCTTCAGTAAATAAGAGTTGTTGTAAATCCGTTTCATTAGGAAATCCCATACTTTATAAATCTTTGATGGATCACTGTGCATCTACTCAAAGCTATCAGGTAGGGCAATGTTATGTCAGATTGTGTATTTGCGTATGGACAAGTCCATATATTTATGAATGATTTCAGTATACAGACTTCAAGATAGTATTATGGTGGAATAAAACAGAATCTGAAATTAGCATATGCCAATAAAATAGACTGTTTCTACATAAACTTAGCTAAATCGTATTCGATTAATTTGTACATTCTCTTATTACTATTATCATATGAGTTCAGCAAAAATCACATATTGTATTAAGTTAGCGTTACGCTAACTGAACAAGTCAAACAACTTACCTTCCACTCACTGGATCTTTATGACAGAACGTTGCCCAAGCCAGTACATCCTGACCGCATGTGTCCCTGTTTCTCATACTGACTAGTAACAGCATTTCGTTATACTGTAGACCTTTTCCTGCGCTATATTTTACTATTTTTTCACTGCCAACTTGTTCATAGCATGACTGAAAAATATTTCAACATAGCTGATATATAACATCAAGTTAACAAGACGATAATATCTTTCATGTTATATACATAAGCATAGCAGCATAAAACAAAAACACGTTTCTATCAAAAAAGTAAGACAAACACAGAGTAGACGATATACTGGGCGTACTAATTAATGACCAACGTCATCCGTCTACTCCTTGATGTTATTGACGACTGAATTCTCTCAGCCAAGTATGCATTACTGTGTCTGTCATTCATGGTAAACTGCAAGTTAAACAAAGTAGACGTCTTTACATTCACAGGTGAGTAAGTCGTAGGTTATCTAACGTAAAGTCATTGTAGAGTCATATGACTGGAATGTTGGTAAACGCTTCATTTCAAAGACTGTCAGACTGGAAACCACCTTGTTTCATAACCCAATATATCTACGCTTAGGAAATAAGTGAATGTTTGCAATAAAATATGTCGATCAGCAGTCATCAAAGTGGATATTCATAACTAGTTTGTAAATAGTAACTTTGTTAAAAGATTTTAACATAGTAGGAAAACACTCTTAAGTAAAATAATGTCCTGTAAGTGCTTTCCTTACAGTTACAGATACTGGTGTAGGAAATCATGAATCTATGATTCATTTCTTTCATTCCGAGTGGAACATGTGGCCTGAGTATCACATTTTCGCTTCACTCTGCTCTGAGACATCACTCTCAGCTGGCTGCACAACTGCACGCACTAAATGCATTCATTTCTTCCTCCCATGATCTTGTGCATATCACTGTCTGACATCCAACCCGCTGCTACCTATCCGGTTTCATTCAAGGGCCGGCATGAAGAGTGATGTCACATGAATGTCTCTTCAGCGTATAACCATTTCATCTTCATTTCCTTTTGAATATTTTTGTTGCTTATTAGTTTCTCTTGCCTGGTTTACCACCAGAACTGGTTATTTCTTTTTTTCGCCTAGTTTACTAGTAGGTCCTACGCTGGGGAAAACAGGGATGCTTAGGTGTAGCGCTTACAACTCCACATCATTATACGTAACTTCACCGCTACTGGAACTTCAAAACTCAGATGTATAAAACTCCTAATGTTCCATTAGGAGTACACTGTCATCACTAGCTGATTGGCAGTAGGTACATGTTTGTGTGTCCAACAACATCTCATCACCAGCAAGTTAGCCAGTGGCTTGAGTAAGGACACTCAACAGCTGCACAGAATTTAGGCAAGACAATGTGATCGTCACTCACTGCTGAAATCATCTCCATTTATTACACGTCAACTTAGGAACAAAGTGAGTTTGACTGTGTTCTTTAAGCTGAGCAGTATTTTTGCGGTGCTTTCATTGGCTTTCAAGACATCATCTTCAGCTGCAGAATTAAACCAATCAGCCCTGAGAACACAGTTCCATCAGTGTTGTCTGCGTGAACTAGAAATCTTCATCTTCATTTCTAGAACTAAAATTATTATAGAGGGACATCGTTTTTCATCTAGAGAGATAGCATTTTTACATCCGTTTCTTCAAGTGTCACGAATAAGAACTACAAAGTAAAGTGAAGAGTCTCTTGTCGATGGATTTATATATAATTATTTCGTGTGTGTGTGCGTGTACATTGGGACTGTCAAACAAAAACTAGTTAGGGTTATTGTTGACGTCATCAAAATGTCTCATCAAGATGTGATGAATAAAGAAAATTGTAACTAGGCGAGGATGAAGACTGATAAGTACTGGCAATGGTTGCGTGATATGAAATAGGATGTTAATGGAGACAAGTGTCCAAAATGAATATCGAAAGCCTAAGTGTAAAGGTCAGCTGACAAACTTTGACAATCGGGTACCCATCAGTTGCAAGGAGAACCTGAAAATATCTCTTGCGACTGGAATCCGAATCAGTAGAAGAAGGTAACATCCTTTTGAGGAAGACACTAATTGAGAATGGCCATCCACCACGCTTTATGGATAAACACACAAAGCTGAAAATCAATGAAGAAAACTCGTCTCTGTGCCGAAGAAGATGCTAAACATGATTGTGGCGTTCAAAGGCGACCTTCTGGACGACTTCCTAAAGAGAAGAATGTCCTGAGAAGAACATTGTCTTGTGCTACATTACGATTGGTATTCTCAAGTCTCTCACTGTTTTTCAACAACTCCAAAGATAAACTGTCACATCTGACCACTTCTGTGTGTACCTTCCAATTGACTTGCTCGTGTGGAGCGAGATATATAGGCTGTTTGATGCATGTTTTATCCAAAAGAGTCAAAGAAAATTAATCCTGCTTGGCTACGAAAACGTAACAGTGGATCAATAAAGAGTTCTATAATTTAACGCATATACAACACCGGTCACGCAATATGCACGGAGAATTCATTGAAAGTCATCTACAAGATCAAAAAGAAGTCCCCACCCCTCAGAAAACGGTAAGCTTCCGTATACTTTGCATTGCTGAGGCTTTAGCAATCCGGATAGAAAACCCTGATTTATGTACACAGAAGAAACTTCTCCACTCCCTCCGTCTACCTTGGGTATAATTTCAAGTTCTACTACTTTGTTAATAATGCTTTTTTGAATTTTTTTATGACTTTTAGTAACGTCTTTTCCATAACCAACACTTAATTTAATCTTTCTACCTATTACATAACTTATTTTGAACAATTGTCCCCATTAACATCCTATTTCACATCAAGCAACCATTGCCAGTACTTATCAATTTTCACTCTCCCCTAGTTACAATTTTCATTTTTCATCACATTTTAGAGACATTTTGATGACGTCAACAATAACCCTAACTAGTTTTTGTTTAACAATCACAATTTACAAGCACACACACAAAATAATTATATATAAATGCGATTGTGCAACTAAGCGAATGAATTCGCCGTCGACAAGAGATTCTTCACTGAACTTTGCTGTTTCTCTATTCATGTTTGAATGGGTATTTTCTGTGAATGTCAAGAATAAATCAACAATTAATAAAATGGTGGCACTTTATACTGCAGATTTTTGTGTTTTCTTTAAGCTTTGCCAGAGATGTTTTTAGTTTCACCAACCTTCAGTTTTGTAATGTACTGGATACACAATAAGTAGGTTTGTAGTTTTTGTGATACAAGAACAAACTTCACTTTATTATACATCCACACTAAGACTAACCAGTTCCGCTGATAGTGATTAATCTAGATGCTCTTGTGTTTATTATTGTGAGTCACTGCCATGTCACGTCTTTACTACTCTGAGAAATAACACTTAAGAACGAGATTGTATTTCTTCAGTAGGTTGTCAATTTTTTATCTGCTCAGATGATAATAATTTCAAAATGTCTCATATTATAAACATCACTAATTATAATTATTTCATTCACAATATGATGACTTACGCCTAAGTATTCATCTGGAATTCTCATATGTCTGCACATAATATCTTTCTTACACAATCTTCTACAGTAGAGAATATTTTCACGTACAGCAAGTGTAATTGGTCCAGATGCACATTCCCTGTAATGCAAAAAAAATAAATAGTAAAAATCAAAATTAACAAAAGTTTAAAATTGATTTACTGATTTATTTTATTCCTCTCCGTTCCAGGTAGAGCACATAGAGCTTCCAGTTTTGAACTCTGAGGTTTCAGTAACACTGGTGTTATATTTTTCCCGAGGTGAGGTTGCAAGTCTCACATCCAAACTTATCTATTTACTGGGATTACTATCGGTTAACAGAGAGAGATTTAGCAATGCATCGGCCGGGAATCGAACCCTAGACCACGTGTTTGTGTGTGTGTGGTTGATGAGTGTCTTACCACTCTACTACACCCACAAATTAGCGTAAATATAGAACTAGGCTTTAGGCTGTACTGAATATATAAAAGAGAAATGATGAATGAATTACACAAAAGTTCATGAATTCTTCTCAGTCAAACACTCACCCATGCATACAAAAGCACTGGATAACTAACTGTTACAAATTAGAAAATAACACCATATTCCAAATAAAGTAGCCAATAGATATCAATGAAGAACTGAGGAAAACTTGTAGTGTATGTGTGTGTTATTTGAGCCGAGTGTGATTTAAATGAGAAGGTTTCATTATCCTACTAGGAAGCATTTTCAGTGTTGACTCCAATGCGAAGTAAGTAATTTCTTTCCTGGAGCATTCAGTGTTAATAAAGGGGAAGAATACTTTTTAAATGTAGCGTTCTGTGGAAATAAACCAGGAGGAATAAATGTAATGTGATGACGAATTGCCTGTTATTCATTCTGAATGGCTATGTTAAAACTGAAGTTTTCTTTTAAAATATAATCGAATAAGATATAAAATTAATTATATATTTTTCGGAGAGAGTTCTAAACTCACGACATTGAAATCATTAACCAGACGCTGGCGTTTATTTATTTGTAGACAGGGTATTTTAAGTGGAAAATTAACTTATTGTAAGTCCAGTAGTTGTGTTGTCACCATGGTCAATTGTTGTTTTGATATTTTACGAGATTTGTGGTCACATGAAATACATCTCCTATTTTCTTCAGCTAATACACGTGAATACATAGAATTACTTCTTTAGTAACAGTTCCTTGAATGTACTGATTAAATGAATTGGAAAATCAGTCTGTTAAGTAAAGTGAACTGCTCACTGTTCATTACTTGAATAAAAGGAGAACTTCTGGTTTATTGATAGAATTTCCTTACTTAGAAAACAGCTAGTTGAGGGAAAAAGATATTCTACATGAATAAATAAATCATGCAATTAAGACGAAGAAAAAGTGTACATAAATTCCACCATGTTATAATTACCTTGGTACTAATATATTTTCTGTTGTCTTTGACAAAACAATTAACGCCTTCTCCCAGTGTTTAATGGCGGCTTCAAGCGCAGTCTGTTGACGGTTATAATAGGGATTGTAAAATAAGTGACAATAAGTGTTTGTAGGCTTTAAAGGATAACATAAACTGATAAAATAAGATGGTTAAGAAGGGAAAATTACGCATGGCACCTAGACATAGTTAATCAGGAAATAATGGAGAAGATTTTTAGCTCAGTTGGATGAAATTGACTTAGTTGTGTTCTCTGAATTGGTTGAGTTAATTGAGAAGCTTTCGTAGTCCTTCTAGACATCATCCTCGGCGCAGGTTTTAGATGTTGTCTAGAAGGACGACGAAAGCTTAGCAACGAAATCAATATAGTTCATCTGGCTTGGAAAAATGTGTTCACTATGACATGGATTATATCATCTGAATAGCATCATTCTTTCTTGTAAACAGAATGACTGTATTGATATAAGTATAAAACTTGGGCACTGTGGTAGAGATCCATAATGGAGAATGACTGTATATTTTATATTAAAATGCCATTGATCAACGACAGCCAGTGTAGTTCCAGAAGGTTAACACTCCGCTTTATGTTCTATGAATACTTAACAGCTAAATATCATTCACCTTGTACAATAATATGATTTTGTTTATTCCTTTAGGTTCCCAGTGGAACATACGGCTTCCGGCTAGGGGCTTGAAGTTTCAATAGCAATGGTGTTTATTTTTTACGAGATGGGGTTGCTAGCCTCATGCCCAACCTTTCCTCTTTACCAGTCTTATTACTGGCTCATAGAGATAAGGGAGTACGTTGGCCAAGGGTTGAACCCCGAACCACATGCGGCGTGGTTGGCGAGCATTCTACTGCTGTGCCATCGACGCAGTCTGAACAAAGGACAGATGAATTTATTTGTGAAAAAACTTGTAAAGTTTATGTCAATTATAAAGAATATGCGCCTGTGTCTACTACTTGTTCAGATAGATGAGGTACACTTTGGAACACATATATCTTAGAATACATACTTACCTTTATTTTTGTGTATGCACTACTTTCTTGAAGTGTTTTGTCATATAAAAGAACAAATTTTAAATGTTTGTTCTCTGCAAATCTTTTAGAAATATTTTGTACGTATACGCCATTTCTCTGAAGAAGTAAAAAATACACTTTGTTAACTTCTAACATCTATGATGGCATACCGATTCCGAGTCGGGAACAATACAATTAGGTAGAGATAAGATGGATTTAACGGACAAAAGACTGAAGAAAATAAATACACCCGTTCGCATTGCAAACATCCGAAGATTATTGTATCCTAAACTTTTAAATCTCATGGTTTATATAGCCATTGAGAAATATTGAGAGTGGTATAGACAGCTCTCTTGAACTTTGTAAATTCTGGCACGTCCTCAGGCTTACTTGTAATTCAATTTAGAGTGGGTCTTTAAAAGATTTCAGTAGAGTAGACACTTATGTTGTCTATTAGTTGTGTATTTTTCTTAATTAACACTTGTTCCAATCTACTTCATTGGAGAGTGAAAATAACAATAATCAGTAGAAAGCAATTTTAAAAAATAAACTAATATTTATCACTGATACCAGTTATCATTAGGTTGAAGTCATTATTTCATTGTTTCAATGCACTAGAATCCCTGTGACTTTCATAGAAGGAGAATATTCAAAAGTAGTTTTCATCAATCATGGAAACTAGTTAGAGAACCAGAGGTCACTAGACAATCCTTCCCCTCGACTGCAGATTCTTCAATGTCCACAACCACTACGACAGAGATTGTATCCAGGATCTTGAGGTCATCCGGATAATATATCATTATGAAACCACTGAGTCAGGAGCCAATATGCCATGAATTATAACTTCCATTAAACTAGCAATATAGCACTACCGCCAACCAATTGAGTCGATGTGTTAAACAGGTGTTCAAAATGTCGTGAATCCGTGGGCATAGACTTCAGCCAACAGTGTAGAAAATAATTCCTCAAAATGTTTTCAGTAACTTCAGACATTGTCCGTTTTAACCTTCTGGATTCGATTATCATGGTGATCATTTTGATCTACAGCGTATACAGAAGAACCGTCTCCATCGCCTTCTTCTACCTTGGGTATAAATTCAAGTTTAAATTTTATTTATGTTTTGTTATTAATACTGTTTTGTGCGTTTTTCGTGTGACATTTAATGTCATCATTTTCCTAACTAACCTTCAATTTACTCATTTCACCAACTGCATAGTTTGTTTTGGTACTTATCCCCATGCTTTCTCATTAACATCCAATTTTCCCTGGACGTTTATCATAATACGTAACCCTATTCTAAACTGATTAATCCTCGTCCTTCACCTACTAGTTACAATTCTGATTATATATCACATTTTTTGAAATGTTTTGTTGCCTTAAAAAATAACTGAAACTAAATTTTATTCTTCATGGATAAACCTAATGGGCTCACACATCCAAAAATGAATTATCTACAATTGTGACTGTACAGCTAGGTGAATGAATTCGCCGAAAAGAGAACCTTCGCTGAACTATTTGTTCTTATTTTGATTAACCTTAAAAACGACTGAGAGGACTTGAAGATTTCAGTACATTGGTGCTTTCTGAGATGGATCCACTGATATTATAGACAGACCTTAGTGTCAACCTTATCGTGGAGAGGAATTTTTGAGGTTCTTCAGAACTGAAATAATTGTGTGTTCTGATGAATATTATTGTGATTAGTTAAAAATAAAGTTTTTTTATCTATATCATTGGTACTTTTAGACGAGTTTTAGGTGGTGGTGTGTTGAAGAGTCGTTTAAAGTGAACAGTCCATTATTGCCTTTGTTCCTCCTCTTTAGTAATTGGGTTCCCCTGACTATCTTTCATTGGTTTCATCTGTACTGATCTCTGCTCCGATAGCGACCTGGTTATCTGATACAATGTTCCAAGATCTCTTTAGCCTGCTGCTTATTCTGCTTCAAGTACCAGTGTGTGGTTAATCGGTCCTTTGTCTTTCCTAGTACTATTAGTCACTTATTTATTCGGTGCATTGTACGCTGAACTCAGCTTCTCATTCTGTCCTCCATCTTTGCAATGGTTCATTTTCTGTTTCACTGTTCGTCTCTCCCCTTTTACTTCTAGGTGTCCGTTGAGAGAGATTCCTTGTCTTGTCTCTTCTCTCTTCCAAAACGGTTATACATATTTCCTCTAACATCGCTTTTAGAGGGTTCCAGTGTTCCTAAACACAGCTTTCCTGGGTGATGCTGCATAGTGTCTCCAAATATCCTGTGTTGGCTGCAGCGAATGTCTCGTTCGTAGTTTTATCCTTCAGATTTTGAATTCTGAACTCAAATTGTCGTCTACTTCTAGGTGCTTAGAAAGCTTTCAGCTTGATATTGGTGGGTACCTGCACTAAATAACGGTCTGGGCCCACATCTGTTCCCCTTCCTGACTTGATTTTCATCAGACTGCGTCTCCACTTTTTTGAGATTGAGGTGAAGTCAGTCTGGTTTTTGGTGTGTCCATCAGGTGAAATCCACGTTGTGACTGTACACACTGCCTTCACTCATCAAATCATTGAAGCCGAATAGCTCTTCATAGTCATTCATTTCACCGATAGCCTCCTCACCCACTATCAGCTCTCTTCTTAGGTTGTTTACTCTGAGTGTAGCATTCATGCCACCCATTAAGATTTCGATTTCCTCATTTGGGGTCTTGTCCACCAGTGTTTGCAGCTGTTTAAAGGATCCTTCCTTCTCATCTGGATCTGAGTTGTTTGTAGGAGCTTAGCAATCGATAAATGCAACTTTCCTGCATTCTTAGTTGAATCTTCCTGACATTATCCCAGAAAAAATTGGTTCCCACTGCACAAGGGCTCCCTGTTTGTGTTCGTGATTATCATTTAGGTGATCAGAGTAGATTATCGACTCTGCAGCCGACACTTTGGAGAATCCGAATCCATTTCACCTGCTCTCACAAATTCTTAACACTTCTAGACCGTATCTTCTCATCTCTGTAGCAACCTTAGCTGCCTTCCCAGCTTAAAACATTGTGTGGATATTTTTGTCCCCATGTCTGTTTTTAATTTCATCGGAAAAAGCTACATTGGCTGACAGGCTTTCCTAGGGTTTACACCAGTGCCTATCATTCCGTCTCTCCGAATCCAGAGAAGAATTAGTTCATTTTTGATATCTTTACTGCTTTTGGGTTTCTGTTGGGACTGAATTGATTTTTCCGGATAGGGTCGCTAACCCCCCCCCCAACGTATCCACTTTTCCGGACTTAGAACCTGCTGGTAATCTAGGTGAGGTTACCTCATTAAGCTTGGATGTTGTTCAAGCCTCCACTGTATTCTATATTAATTCGTTTACTGGATATAGCCTACAGTGAAACATGTTAATATACAGGATGACTTTTCGAAAGAAATTTAGTGTTCATAATCATATGAACTTCGCTTGCTTTATAAGCGTTAGCTACACAAGAAAATATAATTGTCAGAGAACCTGTTTAACAGTTTTGCTAGCCAATGTATTGTGATATCAAGGACAATCTCGCATTTTAAGGTACAAACTACCCACCTGTATCTTGTTTGTAGATATGCTTGTATATTAAGTGACATTTTGTGCAAAGAGGTTTTACCGCACTATCTTCACTTTACATAGTCCTCAGAAAACATACTTTTGTTTCTGTAGTGGAAACATTTAACTGAGTTTCTTTTGTACTGTAGTAGCATGAAACTATGGGAGTTGACATACTGATCAGTCCTTTCACATACCTTTGCATCAATATTGTTGAACAGAGCATCCAGGGAACACATCATTTGCCCATTCTCAATCATGCTTGAAATTCATGACTCGATATACGTTCATGAAAACACTATTGGACTCATATGTCACAGGCAACAGTTCAGTCCACATACAAGCAATAGTAATGAGGTTTATTGAGCATCACTAAGTGAATCATTTTCAAGTCAAATCATCCATCTGTCTACAGAGTTCACTGGTGGACATAAAATGGACACTTACCCTCATGCTTTTATAAAGGAGAAAAAGATCTCTACGCAGCTATATCCTGGAATACCTGATCAAATCTGGACGCCAAGCTAACCCATAAAGCAGCTTCAAAGTCATCTACAGAATACATGGGAAT